AAAAGGTTAAATCAGTAACCATAAAATCTGGGAGTCGATATTATTTCTACTATACTTCTTTTTTCAGACTTCTCTAGTTTTGGCGAAGACAGTTAATGATTTTAAAAGTTAGGCAAAATTTCTTTCTACTGTAAGGTCAAGACAAATGTACATTGGCACTGCTCACTAGTAAGTATTAACAGAAATATTCAATTTTGTATTTCAATACTCTCACAAGTACATTATGGTGGTCAATGTCTAAGAAAATAACCTTATTTTGAAGATTTCTGAATGATCTTTGATGCAAAGATTTACTGAAAGTATTTATATCTTAATAGTTAATGTTTAAGTAATAAAATACAAAAAAATGGTCAGTGTCGAGGTTTATTCGTTTCACAAAAAGTATTACCGCTTATAACTGGAGTATTTTTCTCAAAATTCCAGAGGATCTTCGCTTTTGACCCCCCAAACAATTGAGTGAGAAATTTGAAGAACATATCCTGAAAATTTCAACAAAATCAAGATTGCCAAGCATCCACCCTGCCTGATTTGTCCAATTTCTTAAAAAACTACCTCTTAAATTAAAATTAAATTGAAAAAGAAATTAAACTCAAGAAAGTGACATGTTGGTTAACGTAACAAATCACATTGAGTAAAAGTGTATATTTAATCAACAGAATCTGGAGCAATACGTATTAAAATAGAGTTTTAAATTAATAAAATAATCTTAACACAATAAAGTAAATCATGAATCTTTTTAACAACAATAAATAAGTACATGATTAAGTTTATAAACTACTTGCAATCTATCTCACAACAATAGTGCAATCTTCAATGAAAAAAATCCAACATTTTAATTATGTAATTCATATTTTATTGCCATCTAAGGTTATAAAAATCTGCATTGTAACTTACTCCGGCGTGACACTATTATTAAAAAAATATCCGCTTGGAGAAACCCTATTTGCCCTCACAGTCACAAATCAAAAAAAAAAAAAAAACAATTATATCACTACTTAACTATTATCAACAATTTGCTCCAATTACGTCAAATCAGACACGCGATACAATGGATTGTCTCGCAGTTAATCGCTGCTTGGCTTACCAGTCCCAAATTCCGGGAATTCTCGAACCGAATGATTTTATTTGTCCAAGAACAAAACATTCTACTCATATCTTATTACAGTGTAAAACGAATATAAAAAGCGTCTCTTACAGTCATAAAGACTCTCATAATATAAAAAGCGCAAAAAGAAAGAAAACGCTCACTCCGTATAACTTTTTTATCTTGCATAGTGAAGATCTTTTTTTTAGCGCAGACAATGAAGGCCAGTTTCCGTGTCACGGACACAAATAAAATGCTCAATATGGTATTAATTGGGGGAATTGTTTTAAAAGTTATATGATAAGTACTATACAATAGGAAGTTTGCTTCTTCTACCTCTAAGTTGAACTTAACCGTTATTTTGAATTTACTGATGGAACTTAACCGTTATTTTGAATTTACTGAGGGAACTTAACCGTTATTCTGAATTTACTGAGGGAACTTAACCGTTATTTTGAATTTAATGAGGGAACTTAACCGTTATTTTGAATTTACTGAGGGAAAGAAAAGCCCAAAAGGGGGAATCTTTAACTTCACTATAAACAGGAAGGGTCCGTGTATTTTTTAAGCACTGTAAAAAATGAATGCGCAAATTTTGCGTAATTGCGTAGTGAAGAGGTGGAGAACAGTTGCCTGTAAAAGAACGGACAGCAAAAATCTTCTAAATAAAGCCAAGGTTCACTCTTGGCTGTCGCGCTTCTAATGATTATGATGTTAATTTGTAATTACACATATTTACCTCTCTGAAATTACGATCTATTCAAATAAGGTATTGTTTCCTATGCAGTGTTTCACGCTGAATAGAATGAAGTTTTTTAAATGCAGGTACTGAACTTTCGTTCTTTACCTCGGAAGATGCCGGAAGTGTTGCTCATTTAACGTTACAAAGTGAACACTTGTGAAACTAAGTCACGGAGGCGAGCAACATTATTCGCGCCACACTACAACAGATACCTTCTCATAAGGTGGGCCATATTCACACACACACACAACAGAGGACAACACACAGAGAGAAACATCCATGCCTTGAGCGGGAATCGAACCAGCAGCCATTGGCTTCACAGTCAGGCGCGCTAACCGCTCTGCCACCTGGTTTGCAAAATCGAATCGAATGAAATCAAACGAAATGGATATGACTAATAGTTGAGAAGTTATTAAAGTTTCAGTGCATAAAAAGTACAGTTTCTTATTTACATTCATCACCACCTCTGATATTGTTATTTAGATGGGTGAAATATAGGATTCTATGTACTTTTTTTTACATTACATCGAATTAAATCAAAACGAAGTCGGTAGGGCTAATATTTTGAAAGAGCTGAAAAGGTTGCATGCAATATTTGTACTTCTATGGTTACTTACATTGTAATCTAGAGATAAGTGAGGCATTGTTTTTTACGCAAATCTTTAGATTAAATTCGATAAATTCAAAAGTATTTCGATAGAAATAATAGTTTCGAAGTTATAAGGGTTTTATACGTAAAACAGTTTAAGTGAAAAATTATATTTTTAATGTCCAAAACTCTCCTAAATTCTAAACTCGACTCTTCCATTTCAGCGTAATAAAACTGCATCGGATCCAATACTCTGTAAGTCATTATTACAGAGGTTTAAATAGGTACAAAACAGTACTTTTAAGCATAAAAACTTCATAACTTTTGAGCTCTTTATTTTGGTTTCATTCAATTCAGTGTACATGGGAAATAATAAACTTGGTAATAATGGTAAATAGGTAAAGCAAAAATTTTACTATTTAATACAAAACCTTTATAACTTCTAAACTATTAATTATTCCAATCGACTTCTTTTCTGCGTCATACGATTCAGGAAACAATGCATCACTATTTGTTTAAATAATGAAATTGAAATTTTCTTTCTTTTTAAACCCTCTTTCCCTCATTATATTCAAGAGGGAGGCTAAAACTGAACTCGAGGGGGGGGGACTACAGGTATCCCTATTTGACTTAAGCTAAAACTCTTAAAGCAATTTCTAGATTTTTACCAAATATTTTTTTATCCAACTACTTAGAAACTGGCCTAATATTTTAAAAAATTAAAACAAGATGCAAAAACGTAATTTCTTTAGATAAACGTAATTTTATTCGTTCTTTTTTTTCTTCATTTATTTTATTTCTCTTTTTTGACGATCGTAGTGTAGGGAGAATCATCCATCTAACTTATTTTGACTTTTTCTTTTTCGAAGAAAAATTTTGAAAGTAATTCATCGTCAAAAAAAAAAAAAAAAAAANAAAAAAAAAAAAAAAAAAAAAAAAAAAAAAAAAAAAAAAAAACAATTTTAAAAGAATTAAAAGCTTTAATGATATCAGCGTATTTTATGTTGTAAACTATTTTCCGACAGAAAATTGTACAAATATTATCGATATTTAATTTCTTGTTTTTCGCTCAACCTAATTTTGCTATTCTAATTTTTGATGATAGAATGATAACATCAAGATTTTCAATCGTTCTATATTCTTATGTAGTGCAACAATAAAAATGTATTACAAATTTGAAAGATACTACACTTATTCATAAGATTAAGTTCCGCTTTTCAAATGAACCTAAACAATAGCTTGTGATTAATTAAAAAATTAATGAATGTTATTAATGAATGGATTTAAATAATTTCCTCCTCCAATAAATAAATTGAACAATAAATAAAAGATGGGTAAAAAAAAAAATTAGGCTATTTTGTTGCAGATAGTCAAGCGTTTAAGGTATGCATGTTGTCTAAAACTTACTAAAAAAATTAATTAATAATTTTTAAACAAAATATGAAAGAGAAAATGAAGTGAAAGCTACATTTCTAGCATAACCTTTATGAGAAGATATGTTAAAAATAATAAAACCGCAATATTTTTCGGGATTTTTTTAACTCGGTGCTGGGAGTACTCGGGATTTTTTTTTTTACAACGAGTTAATTTTTTTAAAGCTGATATCGGTTTTCAGGTATATGCGATTTTCAGGTATATGCTCTTTATTATTAATAGTTTTCTTATCATAATAACGGCTTTAAAAAAAATTTTTTACATTTTTACACATTTAAAAGTAATGACAGTGCAGCATTCTAAGAAAAATTCTTATTTAATCATAAAATTGGTACGAAATATTCAAATTGAAAAAATTTAGAAATGTAAAATTAATGAGGAAAAATGTAGAAATGTAAAATTAATTTTTTTAAATGAATTTTAAACCATCCAATATAAACCTAGGACTTGAAAACCAAATTATGCTTTAAAGGTTTCAATTAATTGAATTCGGTGCTTTGTTATAATAGAAGCTTCTCACTATGTAGTTATAATTTTTTGATTCTCTGTTTAGTAAATTTGATTAAAAGTTATTTTCCTCACCATTACACGCGAATGATTCAAAAGTCACTTTGCCCCAGCTCTCCAATGGTTAAAATTTTGGCAAATCAACAAAAGTTTATTTTTTGATTGCCTACGATTGGATAAAATGTTTTGCAAAAAGCGTGATAGTTGTCAGGTGTGAAAATAAATTGCGTCGAATCCAGTCGGATACCTTAAGAAAATTATTTTAGTTTTGCTTTCATAATACGAGACTTTTTCTTATAGCGGAACACTGATTTTTTAATATAAATAATAGTAATAAAACTGAAATAATAAAAGTGAGAACATATAAAAAATCTTTTAAAGAATTGCCCGGTGAGAAAAATATCAATAAAAAAAAGTACATAGGGTTAAAACATTTTTGAGTGCATATGGAATTGTTTTGGGGATGTTAAAAATGTTTCTGAAATATAAATTAAAAAAATTATGATTTTTCTGATACGAGAATATTCTTAAAATTTTTGTGTTTCGAAGAAGTTTTGAGAGGTTTTTTGTTTATTTTTATTTATTTTTTGTAGCTTTATATTTATACTCATATATTCTGATACTGTTCTATTTTTTATTCCCAGAGGGCTTTTGTCCCATTGGTGACAAGCGACCAGAAAACTGCTCAATTTCATCTTCTGCTTTTTTAAACGTTTGTAAGATGGATACAGAATGCCCAGGTACTAAAAAGTGTTGCCACAGCGGATGCAGTAAAGTGTGCGCAAGTGCACTTCCAGTACCTCCTCATCAAGTAGTCCGTAGAAATCGTACACCAATAAAGCTTGGTAAACATACTTGAAAGCAGGATTGAAAAAAAAGACACTATGTATTTGTTCTCTCTTCTTTTTAACACCAAATGATTAATGGTGCTTATGATATTAGAAAAACAGAAACTTTAAACGAGACTTATGTTGTGCAAATTAATATGCACACATTTAAATGGATGCTTGACTGAATGTAAGCAAGATTCCTAAAACCAGAAGAAATTTAAAACACTTCCGGTGTATCCCTCCGCTCCTGTTATGCTTACGAGACTTAATATTCTAAGAAATTTTATTCATGTGTTTAAATTTGCCTTTAAATTATAAATTCTAACTGATTGTAAACCTAAAACAAATATCAGAAAATTAATATCACAACCTAAATAAAGTGTTTTCATGTTTTAAGTGTTATCCTTTATTTGGCTATATTTGTGCAAAATATCACCGTTAGTAATTTTTTAAGTTGCATCTTGCAGAGCATAACATGCTCGAGGAGTCTACTAAATTCTTATGTTGTTTGTTTCGTTGAAATTTAAACTTAAAAAACGCGTTATATTGTAAACACTACAAGTATAATAATATTTGATGGGGCCCTTTTTCAAGCTTAGGCGTAAAAATCAATCGGAAGTAATAACCCGGAAGTCTTACGACCAATTTTAACCCCTAGAGCCATCTTTGCTTAGCTTTACACGGTCAACCACGCATACGCAAATGAATATTTAAATGAGGAAAAAGTGCTATCAAAAATCCAACGAATTACTATCGAGATCAACCATGTGAAGTTAGGATTAAATAAAATTCAGTTTTATGAAATTGAAGAGAGGTAGGCAGCGGTTATTAGCAATCTTTCCTTCGACAACCATAATGGTTAAGTTGCTTTAAAACCCACTTTTACTGTGATTGAACTCAGAAATGAAGTGACCGAATTTTAAAATATTTTTCTTTAATTTTATTTTATAATTTCTATTATGTGTATTTTTTAAATCTCTATTGATTTAGATTTTTGGAATTCGGGACGATGTTTCTAAAAATATATATTAAGTTTGGTTATTACGAATTACAAAGGGTGTAACGGAATTTATGTTCAAAACTACAGTGATGACAAAAAAACTCCATTCGTAGAATGTGGGGTCAAAAGGCAAATAAATGACAAGCCGTTAGAGAACACCAGTTTGGGGAGAACAAAATAAAGAATAATAATAAAGGACAAACTCAAGAATAATATTAATAAAGGACAAAGAATATTTCTTGCTAAAAAAAAACTTTACAATTGCTCACATGTGCGATCACCAACTGTAGCCCAACTTTCAAAATCCTTAATAAACGCAGACATTGGAATGTTCCAAACATTTCATTAACGTCTGCAAATACGATACTAGTATGGGCGACTGTTTTTTCTTGTCCTAATGATTGGATCGACGTCTAATAGACGTGCTTTAGATATCCCTATAGAAAAAAATTTATTCTACTTATGAAAAATCAAGAGGTCTGGGAAGCCAAAAAAAGGCCAATTCGGAAAAACAATGCACTGGCTGTTTCACCAAGTAAGCACCTTTTCACAGCTTTTGTGATTTCACATGGTATGGTTAAAGTTTTCTATCACCTTTTACGCCATTAGTTCTGTTACACCCTGCAAATTTGTAGTTTTTCTCACATCTAATGTTATCATCTAACTAAACAGGATGATAACAAATAAAAGAATTATTTTACGAAAATTATCATTAATCTAAAATTAAAGCATTAAATCGTAAAGAAAAAGTAAAAAAGAATATTCCAAATATTTAAAATGAGACTAAAAAAATTTACTAAACCCAGCTAAAATTTAGCCATATAACAAGTACTAAAAGATTAGTCAATGTGTAGTGTTATTTCACGCATAGGGAAAAACTCAATTAACAATTAATCATCTGTAAACTAATTCTAAACGAACCCCACTCAAGTTATTACCCGTTTACACCTCCCTTACTAATATTTGGGTTGCCAACAAATGCAATTATTTTAATCAATTAATTCAGTAATAATTGACTTATAATAATTTTGGGCCTCCCCGGGATCTCGCTGTTCCACCATAACTGGCAGTAGTGTTCAGGTAGCGGGCTCGAATCCCACCTCAATCCTGGATGTATCAACGTAATATTCCTCACAAACTAGTGCTTAAGCTTATGCGTCCACCAATAAGCACATAAAGCGTAACAATAAATAAAATAATCTTATTTTTAAAATAAGTTTTGGAAAAATTAAATCCTTATGAACTTTAGTGTTCAATTTAGAAAATATTAAAAATCTAATAAAATTAATTATACACAAAAAACAAATAAATAATAAATAAAATCAGACTAATTTACACATTCTAAGGATTCCAAACTTTGACAAAAGATTAATGAGTTAAGATTTAGTGCTGACATCTGTCGAGATGAAACAAAATCATAAATAGTTGTACATAAATTTTAAGTTGGAAAGTTTCAATAATCAGCAGCAAAAAAAAAAAAAAAAAAAANAAAAAAAAAAAAAATGCTATTTTGAATAATTAAAAGCTAATAATTTTACTGAAATTGAATTAGCAGATTATGTAAGTATGACATTAAATGTGAAATTAATTAAATAATTCATCATTTTACATGTAATAACATTTCATTCTTTAGTATTTTCTGGATTTTTATACACTTAACATTACACACTAGTATTGTTTTGTTATTGTTAACATACACAATTGTATCATAACTATGTTGTTAATAAGGATTTCTAAAATAAAAGAGTAATTTTCTCTTAATGTTTAAATATTTATAGCAAATTTTATTCTTATGCATTTTTACTTTGATTAATCAATAAAGAATTACTAACCTGAAGAAAATACGTATATCAAATCAAAATTATTTGATTTAAAATATATGATATTGTCTATGAATACACTTATATGATAACAGTTTCCAATATACAACTTTAGTAACTGTTGTAAATTTCTAACAGTTATTCATGAAAGTTAGGTTAAGTTTTACCTATATTTAGACCATTTACGGTAATTGTCCTCTAAGTTCATTATGGAATTGGTGCAAATTGTTAAAGTAAAAAAAAAGTCACAATTTTGCGAAAAGCAAAAGAGTTCAGGATTTGATTTTTTGAATATAAAAAAGTTAACTCAACGAAGCATTGTTTGAGACTCTAAGAAATATGAAAAAACACAGAATTATTAATCGATCGATTTGAAATATTTTTTTTTAAATAATTAATTCGGCTGTTTTAAAGTTCACGTAATTATTCCTGAAACATAGTATACATAGTTTAAAATTAAAGCTTTTGCTTCTATTTTAGAACACTCAAACTGTGGCTTTTTTCAATTTTCTGATGTAAGAGTTTCAAAGAACATTTGCCTGCATACATATTTGTTAAAAATATGACAAATCTTTACAAAATAACTTAATTAGATAACCAGAAAATACTTTTTCATGAAGGTTTATGGAATATATATATATANATATATATATAACAATTAATGACATTTTTAATAAATTTTTCTGTAAATAAACTGTATAAAATACAACATGGTAAAGAAAAGTTTTTAAAATGTACGCCTAAGTAATAGTTTTGTGAATATCTTTTATTATGTATTTGTATTATATAAAATATATTATGGAAGAACAGTGTCGATTTTTTAAATATCGACTTGGCTTTATTTCACAAAAAGCTTAAAGGATAGCTAATAGAGAAAATCGGAAGATGCATTTTTTTACATATGCACATTTCTTTTTACTTGTAAGCTGCTTGTGAAACGAACAAAGTGGGGCTGGAGAACAAATTATTTAGAACACGTTTTACCCTAGTGCTTAAATCTACAGATAAATTTCGATGTACCAGCCCCAGTTCACCTCTCAAAATATCGGGCCTTGACCTGGGGATATGATAGCCCAAAAGATCTGGGCATGGAGATTTTTACCGACGGCTCTAGGATGGAGACTGAAAAAGAGAATACTTACAGAACTGCGTATGCTTTTATTGTTAACATTAACGGTGTAAATACTCACCAAGTCTCCACTAGAGTCGAAGATAACACCAATATTTTTATTGCCGAACTGATGGCTATAAGATCAGCACTACAATGGCTGCAAAACAATAATATTACAGAAGCATCTATATTTTCTGACTCACTCTCGTTTCTCCAAGCCCTGCTCAGAAATCACTGAAACCACTAAAAACTATTGGAACCCAAATATAAAAATGTATTGGGTAAAAGCACACGTGGACATCCAGGAAAACGAGGACGCTGATGCTGCAGCCAAAAAAGCCATCGGTTTGGAAACGGTAGATCTCCAACCCCGAGACAGGCTAAGATCGAAATTAGAAAACACATTCTTGCTAAGTGGGCAGAGGAGTGGAGAGATAGTGAAAAAGGCAGACAGACATACAAGTTCATTAAAACACCCTCAACAAAAAGATTGCAAACAAATTTCTATTTCAACCAATTTTTAACGGGACACGGAGTGTTCGGAAAGTATCAAAAGAAGTTTTTTAATAAAAATGATAATTGTCCATATTGTGCAGAGACTCAAACAATAAGTCACTTGTTATATAATTGCACGCGTTTTCGCACACTCCGGAAAGATCTTTTCATTAATAAATCCGAACACCAAATTTTCTCCAGCAAGGAATGCGAAACCATAATTAAAGTAATCATTAAAACTACTCTGGAAGACCAGCTGGCAACATATAATCACTAAATACACACTATCTCCACTCCAACCTGCCACACAATTTAATGGTAGTTTTATTAAGAAGACCATCGACCAATCTCTGGGTTTTACTTTATTCAGAATTTTTAACTATTTTTGATTCTATGCGCCTATTTTAGCTAGCTGACATTTTAACTTTTTGACTTTTTAACTCTTCCCTTTTATGGCCATGTTTTGTCCCTTGATGGTTTCAAATGTCAAATGAATCCCTTTTGATTCAGTGGTTTTAAACATCCCTTATGAAAATTTAAGGTATATTTAAGGTTGATTTGAGGTATTTTTGAGGTATTAAGGTTGTTTTGAGGTATATTTGAGGTATATTTAAGGTTGCAGAGAAAACAGCAATAAAAATTATACCTCGTAAAGGTTGTAATTAAGGTGTACGAGGTTGATTTATATATACTTCAGCTTGTTTTGAGGTTGTTTAAAATTCACTTCAAATCA